GGTTAGCCTAGCATGGTAAAGAGCTGTGAGCCAAGGTTACTTTAGTGGTTGCAAGAATATATGGTGCAATCAGAAACCCATCACTATAAGCTTCCTTCTAATTTCACAATTCATACAGTTCTGGACGAAGGATGAGAGCATGGCGCATAAATAGTATATGCTGTAACAGCGAGTTTGTATCCAACAAACTGACACCTGTAACTTTTTCTCTACTTCAGTGCAAGACAACAGTGCTGAGAAGAATCGTGTTCCAAAGACTCGTCGCCACAAAAAGAAGACGTCACCAGCTCGAAAGATCACACATTTTCTTTTTGGCTACCCAGAAGGCCCTGAAGAACCACCAGAGGAAATTCTACGGTATACGTCGAGACCGAAGCATCTTTTGATACGGTGTGTGTGCTGTTTTGTGGGCTGTTACAATAACGCTTCATAGATAGACAACAGGAACCAGGCACAAAACGGTGAATGAACACTTCATTGGACAAGACGTAGGTCTAGTGTGCACTAACATAAAAACACGTGCACAAAAGCACGGCTGTGTGCGACGCAGCTGTGGCTGCCGCGTCGCATGGCCGCGTTGCGTTGTGCTTTCTAACTGAGGTGTGTTTTTTCTGAGAACTGTGACGTATTTGAAGTGTTTCATTCTGAGAGTGTTTTGACATATTTAAACTAATTAAATTATTTTTGGTAAGTTTCAGAATTTTTGACTTTTATTGTTAGAGTTGCTCTCTGAGATGATTCGCATGCAATTTTGATTTGAACTGTGATTTACAAATTTGTGTGCAGCGTTGAGTGCCGAAAATATTGATTTTACGCGCTTATAGTAATCTAGTTAACAGCGCTAATGAAGTATAGCCAGGGCACATCTTAGTTGGGAATTTCGGTCGAGTCCATACGACCCCCCTAAAAGTTGGCTTGATACGATCCCCCCTGGTTCCCTTCTCTGATACGATCGAGCTGTCGAGCGGGGGAGGGAGGGATTGCGGGGAAGGGGGTACAGCACATGTGAAATGGGAAGAAAATATGACCTCACCACTCCCCATCTTGCCCACCACTTTCTTAGATTTTCCCCAGCCTCCTACCACTTTTTCCAGTTTTTCCGGAATTTTTCGAAAATTGTCTTTTTTCCCAAAATTTTGCTGTCGAGCGGGTTCGGGTAAGGGTAGGCGCTATATAGCACATGTGAAATAGGAAAAACCGCGAAAAGTCGACAACCTGGGACCGGGAAGAGTTCTTCCCTACGTCCACAACTTCCTCCCAGAAGACAAATCCGACTCCCTTCCTCATTATACCTTCCATGAGCAAAAAAAACCAACCATCAAAAAAATTTTCAGACAAGTAAGACCCTCCCAAATCCGACCCCTTTTGGGGAATTTCCAACGATCATGTGCCCTGAGCATAGCCGGCGTAGCTGCGGCTGCGCACTTTCCTCAGCTAGGGGCGAGGTTTCAGCGCACAGACGACCAGAGTCTGCTATGGCAAGAGTGGATGCTGCGCGCGATCCTCGGCTGTGCTTTTCGGGTCAGGATAAGCGACTTGTGTTGGCCAAGGCAAACGCTGTGACTGCAGCTAAACGGCCTTCCAAGTAAGGTACGTGCGCAGGCAATTCCACCGGGACTTGTTGGTTTTGGAGAAGAACTTAATTGTCAAACGTACATTTCACGCCAGCGAAGTCAGTCGTCTCGCGTCGCGGTCATTGCGCGGCGTGCGTTGATCGATTGAATGTGGATTCCTGTCAGATGATATTGACAATTAAGTTCTTCTGTAATAGAAGAACTTAATCGTCATAATTTGGCTACAAAGCAGCTCGGGTCGGCGAAAAGTGAAAGAAGTGGCATTGGTGAGTCTTACGAACCAACATGACCTGGAACCATGTGTCTGGCATTCTGAAAGACATTACCAATTTTTGACATCGTTTGAAATTTGTGCTGAGAGACTCACTAAATTAATTCTTTATAGTTGGCAGTTGTAATCGATAGCCCGTTCAGATATTCAGTTCTCGATCAACACCTCCCGCTGAAAGTCACCACTACGCCGTCTTCACCTGATCATGAAGATGACGGTAGGCAGGTACTTTCGATGCACATTTTTAAAAATAGAGTTCTTGTTTTTCAGGGCCGCAGTTCATGTATCTTGAAGCTCCTCCTACCGACTGTTACTGTGATGAATCATGCACCGTACTGGGTGACTGCTGTTCGGACTACACCTACGTGTGTCCCCGTAAGTGGGCCGTGCTTGAGTACTGTGCGCGGTTGGCTGGGCGTCTGCCCACCCTTTGTCTTCTTCAACGTCTTAAAGGTTTTCATTCCAGGAAGAGACTGTCGAGTGTCAGAATGGGCTGAATGGGAGCCATGTGTACCGGATGAAGGTAGCTGTGGCACAGGTGTAGAGCAGCGAGTGCGACAAATCATTGATCCTCCTGCAAGAGGCGGAAAAGAGTGTCCAGCGCTCAAGGAGATGCGTACTTGCTTCAAACAATGCGCACAGAGACGTTCACTCGACGGTTGGTCTGATATCTCTAGTTGCAGTCTATACCTGATGGCAAAAAGGGGCGTTCCCGAGCGCATTTGAGGATCCCTGTATAGACTCCTCTCTCTCATATTACTTCCCTGCCTCTTTTGCTTGAACCATTTGTCGTCGAGCGCGCTCGAGAACCCCCGTTTTTGCTAAAATATATCTCCAGCAGCGAAAAAAAGCAAGAGCAAGGAAATAAATAGGGTTTTGTACCGTTTTACTTATTAATTCAACTTTAAAAGAACAATAGCTAGATTCTAGAGGAACCTAGCTTTTCCACTGGTAACGAATCTT